AACAAATAAGCCATCTATTTTTTTTTACAATTATTGAGATATATTTTATAGAAATTTATATTTCGTCATCACGTTTAAATTTTTTCATAACTAATAAATATCGTCGTAAGTAATAAATATTTCGACATTTTTTTCTTACTCTATTAGCGCTATTTGTATCATTCTATCTTCAACGTTCCTTAGACGTAAAACAAGGATAAAATGACACAAAGCTAATAGCGTCTTTCCAAAGACGCACCCTATATCTTGCTGTATCCCAAATTACATTGTAGACTTCTGATTTAAATGTAATTTACCTACTATTTTCAGATCGATAATGCCGGATAATGTAATCGCTGAATTTAATCATTATTTAATCAATCTGAATAATGAGAAGAAGCATATTACATCGATTATAAATTAATAATTAATATGAAGAACGGAATATTAACGTCTATATAGTTACGTCATAAATAAATTACATATTTAACGGTTATAAATTTGATGCGCGGCTTAGTGTTCTCTTGCGGCAGAAGTTGTATACATCTCGTATTGTTATTTTCGTATAAAAATTCAAGTGAGCAGACCATATGAAATCATATGTTAATTCATTCTGTCGATTATTAAAAGGAATTCTTTCCTTTAAATATTTATTATCTATTATATCTTTGAATTAATTATTATTTAAATATTTAAATTAATATTAAAGTTAGAAAATTAATCGCTGCGCAAGCCGCCGCGCACTCAACGATGAATAGATATTGTTTTGCTTCTTTAGTAAATTTACTTTTGCTTTAATCGGCGGAAAATATGAAAGTTACCTTATTATTCTTTTATAATTCCTGGAATTTATTATAATTATTTATAAGCAATGGAATCATATAATTTTCCTCCTTTCTTAGATAAAATTTTAGAAATAAATGAATAGAAATTATTTTTGTAAATTAATTTACAAAAATGATTTTTCAATTAAAATATATATCATTTATTTTAAATTATTAATAAAAGAAAAAAAGACACGCGTAATAGTCAAAATGTGCTGTTATAGTAATATGTGTGCATTTATACATATTTATAAAAATATTATATATATTTATTAATTATATTTATTAATTAGATTGAAACGAATTCTCTCATTAATTAGGAGTCACGTAACAATATTTTCATTTCAATATTTTATTTCTTTTTAACTTTATCAAACGAAATCATTTGTTACTTATAGGTGATGTTGAGACAAAATAAGTATACATAGCAGCAGTTTCTTTATATAAAATTACTTTGAAATATCACACGAGGAGCGAAATACGCAGTTATTTTGACGTACAATTATTTTATAGTAACATGTTGAATATTTGTGGCAGAACTGGCTGGTGTACAGCCTTGGTGACGCAAGGTCACTGCGTACTGCGGGGTCGTTGCGCATTTTGTATTGTCATTTGAACGGCGAGGCTCGAGTTGACAGGTAACGGCGCGTGCCGCTCTGCAGCATTATCGAATAGCATTATACAGTTTGTTATTTTATGAATAATTAGCTTAACTAATTGTTCGTAAATTGCAGGTGCAATTTTATTAATAATTAAATGAAATTGAATTAAAAATATATTTAAATTAAAAAATTTTACCCAAGCAAATATTTTATATAAATTTTTATTTTATTTGTATCTATTATTTATAACGAATGAGATTTCTTAGCGATATGAATTATTTCATAACGATATTTCTTAATGATTTCTATTTAAGCGATATGGAACGAAAATTATAAAGTATTTAGGATTATAATGAAATATAAAAAATTTTGTTATAATCTTTCAAGGCAATAATGATTTCAATAGCAATACTTAGCTTTGTAAATTGCATTTAACTTTAAATTTTTTGCTAGCAAAATATGTAATTTGCATGCTCATTACTTTTAGATTGAGAGTGTAGAGTGATACATGAATTGAACCAAATCAAGTAAATGAAGTAATGGAAAACCGTCATAGTATGTCAATCATTTATTAATAATTAGTACATATATTTCATTGAGTTTGTTGCACGCGAAATTTTTTACGTATACGATACTAAATCTAACATCGCGGTACATTACTACAATTAATAAACGCAGTCATAATTAAATCTTAAATCCCATATTTGAAGCTTCGTAAACTGCGTAGCATAAATGTATGTTTGTGATTTGTGCTGAAATTCTCCGTCGATTGAAATCTCGTTCGTTGTGCCAATTTGCGATATTTACGGATGTCGAACGAATCAGAGAGCTATTTTTTTTTAGAGAGAATTATTTTTCAGAGAGTTATTTTTGCCTTCACATTTCAATGGTATTCTATTCTCAATATATAATTGTAAAATGTACGCCACGTATATGTATTAACATCAGTGTTATACAAAGTGCACACAATTATTTTATTGTATTAATTAATCATGTTTTTACATTGCCACTGTAATAAATACAAAAGGAGATTATTTGAGAGGAATTATAACTTCGCTATTGAGTATCATATCAATGAATAACATATATTATTTTTTATTTTATTAAAATATTATAATAAATATTAAAAAATTATTTTTAAAAAATTATATTAAATATTGTATTTATAAATATTTAATACAAATATTTATAAAATAGATAACAATCTATATGAGAGTCTATCAGTTTGGAATAGACAGAGAATAATGGGTACATTATCTTTTCTGTAATAATAATTAAGTCAGCAAGTATAATTGATGAGAATTTGTTTATGTGTTTATTATATGTGTACATATATTCTGCCAAATGCGATTGCGACAAATATTAAAAAAATATCATTCTACATTTTATCGTTATTACAGTTAAACGATTATTAGCTCACTGATTAAAAATTCTTAAAGATATCATAGCGATGATAATTCAATCTTATTAAATCAAAATTTCAAAATTAAAATTTAAATAAGAAAGTTTCCATTCTAAAGTTATATTTAAATCAAAAGCTTGAAACGTAATTTAGGATTTAATTAAAGATTTAAATTCGCGCGAGCATACGTAAGAAGAAAGAATTACTTCCTTAAATATAATAAAATGATAATTCATAATTTTCATATTCGTTCTTATTCTTATTTCAGACGAATCAATCGCGTAAAACATTGTGTGTTATCACTGTAAATACCCTTATCAAATTTTGTATATCTATATTACTAATAGTCAATTAATTCCTTATTATAAGAATTATTTAATTCTTTCTTTTAATATAAAATTAAATAATTAACAATATATATTAATTAATTTTTTTATTTA